TAGTTGCAATAATTTACCCTTGTGGAATTGGGAATATTATAGAGTGCAATTCACCCACCTAATTCAAATGCCAATCTCAGAAGGTCAAACTCAGACTGGGGAAATTGTTCTTTTCAGAAACAAAGAGCAGGTGGACAAACAGTCAGTCAGCCGGTCAGCGAGGGTCTGTAATGGCAGTGCAAGGCCACCGGTGGAAAATGAAAGCAGGCTATATTGGATTGTAGAGAGTGGGCTGGGATTGGGGTCAGAACTATATGGTGCACAGGCCAAGGAGAGGAAATATGGAGGAAAGGAGAGGAGAAAGGACCAGGCTGAACGACGCTAGAACAATTCCACATGTTTTAGATTCGAAAGGCAAGTTTACTATTTATAAAGAGTCCTACTCATCCTGTTATATTCTGTCTTTTGTGTGTCTCTGATGACCCTGGCAATTGTGCTGACTATCAGAAAGGTGTGGGGGTTCACAAGGCAGGGAAGGTCAAATGCTTTTCTGTGCATTATGGGTAATGTAGTATTGAGCTTTGATAACCCTTATACAGTACATGTTGGGACTGGAGGTGAGAACATCTTAATCTGCTGCCCTAATTTTGAGGGGATTATACAGCATTTCAAACTTTTGGGAAATGCACTACTGACTGTAATCATTAACAAATGATTAATTAAACACATTTTAACATTTGCTTTTTCAGTGTTTAAGTATTTATGTCAAAATAATTTCTGCGGATGATGTTTGATTTTGTAGGTACTATGTTCTTTTTCATTTTGCCTCTCCTTACATGGAGAAATGGAAACACGAACATGAAAAGTAACTTCCAGTGCAGGTAGGATTTATAAAAGGAGAGAAGCAACATGCATTAGATGTTAAGGTGGGTGAAGTGTGTATTCATTTTCAGTCTAGAAACATTATGTATATATGCTTGTCATAATAAGTGTTTACATTGTATACGGACACCACACCGCAACAATATTTTCTCCTCATATCCCTTTCAGTCAATATTTCTGTTCTCCACTATTCCCCCGCCCCCCGTCCTTGATTCTTCACTTTTCCCTCCCTCTTGTTCTCTCATCCTCCTCTTTCTCTTTCTCTCCCTCTCCCTCTCCATCGGCCCCCGACCAAGGAGAAGCGATTTGCAGCAGCAATCCGTTGCTAATTCTCGCTCAGTGTTCATGAAAAATGTATAGCAGGCAGACTGTAGGGAGATGCAGATTGGCGCTGGGCCCTCAGCAAGAGCCCGGCTCTGCATTAATGGAACATTATTTTCAACCTCTCCATCTCTCCATACACCTCTCCTCCCTCTCTCTCTTCCCTATCCATCTATACGTCTATCCATCCATCCGTCTTTCTGCATATCTGTCCATCTACATTACCTTTGAAAATGCTCTTCGCCGCGCTCAGAGTTGAAAACAAAAGCCATAAATATTGGAGGACTCAGTGGAATATTAGCAGCTAAAACAACCCAAACAGAGCTATCTGCAATCTGAACAACTCTGCGTGTGCGTGCATAATGTGTGTGTTTTTTCACACACAGTTGTGTGTGCATTTGCCTGATAGCGCAGTGTGCAGCCAGCTAAACCTTCTAAAAGATAATAAGAGGAAAAACTTAATCTTAATCTTTAAAAGGCACAACGTGAAGTTTGAATCCAGCTGTGAAATGGGTCGTGTGTGCGCTCGTGGGTGTGTCTGTGTGTGTGTGTGTGTGTGCGTGTGTGTGTGTGTCTGTGTGTGTGTGTGTGCGAATGCATCTTAGCATGAATTCCTAGATATATTCGTGTGCTTGGATTTGTTTAAAAGCACAGGTATCTTATGAGAGTAGATTATTAACAGCACTGTAATGCCATCAGGACAAGTCACAGTGTGGATCATGCATAATAAACCTCCCAAGGAGTTTATACACACACACATACACACACTTCCTGTCACTATAGCAACAGTGGCAGTGTTGCTGCCCCTAACTTCAAAGTCAGATGTAATTTCAGCCTCCCAGCAGCCAGAGGGAGCCATGGTGATGACAGAGCGTTCCCCTCCTCTGACGGCTGCTTCCCTCCTCCATCCCCCTTTCAATTCCTTCACTCTGTACCTCTGCTAACTTTTCCCTACCTCCCTCCCTCCGCTGCCTACCCCTGCTGGGAGGCCAGGCACCCGGGTCCAGACATAAAAATAAACCCAGAAAGGTTAGAAGTGGATGACTGAAGATAGGAGAAGAGGGAGTGAAGGGGGAAGGAGGGCAGAGGGAGGAAAAGGAAGGAGGGAGATGATGTAGCCTTTTACTTATTATTTCTTTGTACAGCAACTCTTAGTGTATTTTTCATTTGCTCGGCTTAAATTAAAGAGTGAAAAATGCTGCAATCCACCCTTCAAATATGTGTTACTTCAATCATCAGAATTACCCAATGAGATAGAGAAATAGATTCTAACATATCATTTGAAAAGAAGGCGTTCCCATGTTCAAACTGCTACTGAATATAGAATAGATGTTTCCAATCTTCAATTCATATTGGCTCAATGACATTGAAGCCATCTTAACTGTTTATTTAAATAATAATGAGGTGACCGAAATCCTCCTTTATAAACGAGGGTGTGCCAGAAGGACATATCTGGCGTTAACGGTTAGTGGAAATTAAATCTATAAGTCAAGTTTGCACTTGAGAAGAAATATATATTAGCTGTTCTAAAACCAAAATGAAAGAGTGCCTTATCAAAGGGAAATAAAAAACAGAGCGAACTGAGTGAACTCGTCGAACAACATCGAATGTAACACCTCCAAACTGGTAAAACACGCAGTGTCATGTTCATTTACTGTGTGTATCAAAAATCACGACACAGTGGCCTCGCTTTCACACACTGTCACACTGTTGACTGTCCCGCGGTGGAACGAGGAGGACAGTTAGGAAGGTGTTTTGTGTGTGTTTTGATTCCCTAAAAACACAACAACAAAAAAACAGTGATACATACACACTGCTTATATACCCACACATCTACACACACACACACATATGTTGCAAAATGGTTACACACAAAAGCTAATATCAACACATGCTCAGTCGGTTTTAATTAAATTATCCTTTATAAAAAGATGTTCCTGCTTGTCTCCGAACTACAGATCGATGTGTGTGTGTGTGTGTGTGTGTGTGTGTGTGTGTGTGTGTGTGTGTGTGTGTGTGTGTGTGTGTGTGTGTGTGTGTGTGTGTGTGTGTGTGTGCGAGAGAGAGAGAGAGAGAGAGAGAGAGAGTGTGTGTGTGTTCG